TACCTTTAACTTTTGTTTTTATATCACCCATTCGTTCTGGGAAACGTTTGACGTAAAACAAAGTTGCCAATCGTTGTTCGTAACGGTTAATTCTAAAAGCAAAAAAAAGATTTGTACGTTTGGTACGTACACGAAATTAAAAGCAGTCACTTCACATATACGACATACTTGGACATTTCGTATAAAAATCTGTCTGTTTTGGCAAACTGTTCTTTCTCCTTACTATGATCATTGAGCAGATTTTTTTCTTGGGGAGTGGGTACGACCTTCAAGAGCTAAACAAAGAGGATGAAGATAGATTCGTTAGTAAAAATGCTTAATTCCTATGTAAGAAGTCGAAGGGAAATTTAACCTGTTCAAGCATTTCTACAGATAATTCGCCATCTTTATCCATGGTGAGAACAGCTTGCGCTAACTGTTCGTTAGAAGTATTTAGTTTTGATAACAAAATTTGACAGTTCTAAACAAAACAAGATCTCGATGCAAATTTGAATGCAAAACAACTTCTCAACTCAACATATTTGATAGCATCATGGAACCTCGGCTTTTCTACTATCTACGAATGACAATTCTTTGCCATTTGTTTCCGGAGCCACACAAGCTTCTGCACCACCGTCTTTCTAAAATGAACAATTAAAATTGCTCTCAACAAAGGATATAGACCATTGAAGAAAGTGTAAAACGAACACAAAATGTACCTGGTCATTCTTAGATTTTTGATATGCCGAGAACATGCGATCAAAGTCGTTCAAATCCATGATTTCATGAATCTGATCAAGCAAAAATTAAATAAATTGAATGAAAACCTTCAAGAAAGTATTGCTTTGAAAACATTCGAAACTGAACAAAAATTGGTACTTTCGAGTCGTCGATTACCGTCCAAACTATTCCTTTTATTTTGGTCTAGAAATTAAAATTTTGTACATAAAGAGACATGCATGGCAATATACATTGTCACTGAATGACATCGCTGACAATGTCAATGCCTAACATAACACTTCACTTACATCAGGCAGTTTTGACCAATTAAATGATTTCAAAGGTCGCGAAGGCTTTGGTACATTTCTCTTTCCTTTTCCCTGTAATGCGCCTGGTAGGCCAGGGGCACCTGGGGGTCCAAGGGGTGGTAGTGGACCTAGAAAAACAAGAGAGAGCAAATGATAGATGTTCAGTTCAGAACATCACAATAATCAAAATTATTTTACGCAAATAAAAATGTCACCTGGTATTGCACCCCCGAAAGGTGGAGGTGATGGTTGCACTCCTGATAAAGATGGTGGTAGTGATGGTCCGCTAGGAGGTGATGGTACTCCAGGAGTAAGTAATGCAGGTAACGGAGAAGGGGGAGACGGACCAGCATGTGCTTCAAGATTAGGAATTTCCGGTGGGGCACCTGTACTATTCTTGACAAAATGCTTAACGTTGCAATGTTCAGGAATCTTCCCACCAGATTTTTCGACGATCTCTTCAAGTTTTTCCAAGACTTTTTTGTGAGCTTCAAGCTAGGAAATAAAAAAATCTCCACATGAAACAAAAATATGACATCATAAAACATTAACAATTGCTTTACAAGAATGGCAGCACTGTTAACTTTGCCCTCAAGCTCCTGTATTCTTTTATATGCCTCATTCTTCTCTGCAGTCTCACGTTCTAATTCAATTTTTAATTTTTCCATCTCTTCATATACATCGTCCTTTAACAAAAAACAAGACGTTTAATGGGAATCATACAAAAATAACGTAAAACAATAAATAAAAAAAAGGGACCTTTTCTTGTGACGTCGATTTAATGGTTATTTCAAGTTTATCTAACTTATCTCGCATTTCTTCCAAATCTAAAATACACGACACATTACAACCGAAGAATAACATGAAAATGATTATTCCTCGGTTATTGAATTACTGATTGTTAAAAAACATCCGCATTCAGCACTCATACACAGACATAAAATTGTGTTATAAATTAATATTCAATGCTTAAAATAATATTATCAATATTATTTTAAGCATTGAATATTATTCTAGATCATTACTGCCTCTGAACTTAGCAACCTAGCTGTGAATTGTCATATCTTGGCAACGATGGGTCAAATTCATGTCTTCCTGGACGAGCAATTTTCAAATGAATACGAAGGCCGGTATTTTTCACATATCGGGAATATTTTGATGTCAAATTGATTTACATAACTTGTTTCATCTATGACGTATATTTGACATAAGAACAAGGTCGCGAAATGTCTTGAATATTTTAAAATATTTGTTTGTAAACGTTATCAGCCATATATTTCTACAGCAATTGTATCTCAAGTGGGTAAACAGAAACGAATTCCGCATACATAATTAGGCTTTACTTTTGGTACATATGGAAGCTATATAAAATCTATTATCAGATCAGTGGCTAAACACTAAATGAGTACAAATAACTCAGAGACGTAGTCATGAGAGTTAACATAAATATATATTCAAAAAATTACAATTGATAAGAGATTTTTATGACGGAATATGTCAATGTATTCGAATTTATTACAACGAGTGATTAACTTATATGGAAAAAAACGGTAAAACTATAGCACATTACTAGAAACGAGCTAATCGTTGAAAACATGACATCACTTTAATGTTAAATATAAAGAAAATACTCTACAATACAGCTTGCTTATTACAACTATAAAGTGAACATGTTTGCAATACTTACCGTATTCACAAAATGTTTCAATCATATCGACCGTTTTATTATTTGTAGCCTGTCAGGAAAAATGGAGAAAATGATTAAAATAGATTTTTTACCATCACAATTCGTCATGTCCATGTCCATCACATGGCGCATATTATTTGTGGCCTGTTACGTAAAAAATATAAAAATAATTAATGCATCAATTTGTGCAATAATACTTAAAACTATGCGCGTTTAACTTCAATAATAAGAAAATTAGTAGATACAAAAACGATGCATTTGGTCTTCCAAGATAAATTATGAACAAACAAAAAATTAAAAACATTATCTATTGCACGAACGATTTTTTGTTGATCCTGTAAAGAAATAGTAAACTACGCGTACAATAATAATTTCATGACACTTTTTGCAAATATTTTCCACTTATTATTTTATAAACAGATTTGTTTGTAAAAGTTCTACATTTTTTGCTTTTATCATATAGTGGAATGTTTCCTTTTTGCAACAACATACAAAGTTTATGACGATATTATATAGGAAACTTTTATATCAGTTTATGGAAGAAAATGACTGATTCGTATAGCAACGTAGAAAAGACTTGTGATATATATACGTATATAAATTAAATCATAACAAGACCTACATTATCGCAAAAGTTAAATTGAGCGATTGAAAAATTTAAATCGTCTTATATTTCTCTACTATAGAAAGCAGGCTGCTTTGATAAATCAGTAATAAAAAAATTACCTCCTCTTCATCTCTTCTCACTTTAGTGCTTTCTCCTGAATTATGATTGAAAGTAATAGGTTATACGCATTGATCAAAATAGTCACTGATTTTTTTTTAAGATTAGGTAACAAAGAGTAACTTGTTAAATCAGAACATCACACGACATTTTTTATATTACTATACATAACAATGTCTCTTTACATCATACGTTCGTGTGACATATTCCATGGCTTTGCTGCATGAAGTCCTTTTATTTGACTAGCATTTAAATAGGACATTACACTAATTCTTAGTTAAACTATTATTCTTATTGAATGATCTTTGCTAATTTGCCACATTAATCAAAATTGTTGTAAACTACGTATGATTACCGTAATTTGCCTTATTCAAATATTTGTCGCAAAAATTTATATGTTGGTTACACAATAAAAAAATTAAACATGTAAAAAATATCACAAAAAACTGGTAACAGCATTAATATATCCCATTGAACTAAAATACAGGGAGCACTACCTGTAATACAAAACCATTATAACTTTTTTAAGCCGTGATTTTACCCCAGACACGCGTGTGTAGTCAATCATGTAATACTCCGCAAGAGAATCTCGAAACATTAAACACGCGTGTCTGGGGTAAGATCTCGCGTGTCTGGCGTAAGATATGTCTTTAATTATTTGCTTGAGGTTGCGTTCCATGTACTTTAGTTCAAGAAAAGCACTGACTCATCTAACTCCACAACTAACACTAACGATATAAAACAACCTGACAATAAACGTTATTTCAAACTACCTTACATAGGTGATTACTCACGACACACACAACGCAAACTCACACAAATCATTAAACGCTACTGCACTGACATTGACGTTAAACTTATTTTCACACCTTTTAAAATAAAATCTTTATTTTCGTTTAAAGACCCACTTCCCGAACTCTCCAAATCTATGGTAGTTTATCAATTTTCATGTGCGGGATGTAATTCCCGTTATATTGGTGAAACTTCTCGCCAATTATCTACCAGGATAAAGGAACATACTCACACAGACAAAAACTCCACTATCTACAAACATCTTCAAGCCTCTCCTTCATGTAAAAACAAATTCTCACCTTCCTGTTTTAAAATCATCGACACTGATCAATCCACTTTCTCACTCTACACATTAATGAAACTAATCCCGATTTAAATATCCAAGTTCACCACTACAACACTATATTTACTTTATAATAATAATTTTGTTATAAATTCTTAATACTTATTTTTAGAACTTATGTTATAGTTATTAATACTTAATACTCATTGTAATTAATTTATTCATATCATATTATGTATCATATTACTTAACACTAATCATTCTGCACTGAAGATGGCATTCTGATAATGTCGAAACATGTTTGCTCTCAAAAAAATCGTCGTTTTTCTCAAGTGTTTTTTATAATAGTCAAAGATATCAAGACCCATTTAGGAGAGTAAAGACTTAAGAAGGAATGCTATGTACATTGCAAAATAAACAACAAAATGCAAATGTTATTTTTTCAACATCTTTTGAATCAATAAAAATGTGACCTGTAACCAAATGAATGTGAAATATCCACATTACCTGGGTAAAACTCCTAGTCTTTTGTTAAATTTTACCAAAACAGAGTCGTTGGCGCTTACATGAAGATCATCTTGCAGTTTCTGAAAGTAAATGTAATGTTTCAAATGTTTTGTTTGTCGTGATGGTAATTTATTAAAAATTCTCACCTCCAGTAATGTTGGAGGAACATTCAACGATGTACAACCAAACTCAAAATGAACAACGACATGTAAGACAGAGAAAATGACTTTTTACCTTAATTTTACAATCCATGCTACACGACAGAAGAAGATGAGCAGATTTCGGAAAGAATCTTATTGCAGAAACACCTTTAGTGTGACCAGACCTAAGAAAAAGATAAAATAATACAATAATACATAAGTAAGAATATCTCCATTGCTTTCTTTTATCACGACGTTAGAAGGATGAACTACAGGAAAACAAATACTTAAATGTTATTAAAAAGTGCTGTATAAAGTGAATATTTGCATCAGGAAGTATCGTTAAGTTTTTGTCGAGGTTAGTAGAGTCCTGTGAAGAACTGTTGCTGTTGATGTTGACTGACGTTTCGACAATCTTAGCAGTTGTCATCTTCAAAGTCAAATGACAAGTAAATGTCAGGTTAGCCGTGTTTCTTAAAACAAGTACTAAGGAAGTCCAATACAATATCTACAAACATACGTACGTAGTACTAGAACAAATCATTACTTTATAACAAATAATACACTGATAAATATGATTTTATAAACATATCAAATGATCACCTAAACGTCTCAAATCAAAGAGAAGCACCATACTAAAAAAACGCTCTAATTTTAAGTTTATATTTGGATGAGACGTTTTGTCTAATGAATACTGTAATGTATAATTGAACTTCCTCAATACCATCAAGAATTATACCATCTGTCTTTAAACTTAATTCAATTATTGCGTGTTTCCTTATAGCGAAATGGTGATCCATTATGATACATTATAAATTACTGGAACTCCAAAACCCTTTACATTTGTGCTATAAAAATATGAATGTTTAAATAACAATGTTTAGCCATAGGCGGCCAAAATAATGCAAAATTCGCATTACCCCGCCAAACTTTGTATTTGATTGTATATATTTACGTAAAAAATATATATTAATAAATAATAAAACAAATACATAAATGAATATAAAATATAGATACAATTAATAAATACAATGTTTTCGGGGCACGGTCTGTTACAATGGAATGGGCGAGTTATTGTTGGTTTATACAATTTAAGTGATTTAAATGAATTAAAGTCTCGCGTGCTTTACGAACAATGGCGTTAGCAATCTGATGAAAAACAGAAAAGAATATTCAGATGGTTTTAAGAGTAAAATAAAACCAGTATGACAATAAGCACTTGATAGATTTTCAATCTGAGCATGTGACTTAGTCCTGGCTCACGATAATTATAATAATAAACATGTATCTATATTATATATATTAAATATTTACCAATTATCTGTAGTAAATATATTATATATTTATTGTATCTAAAATATATATGTGTATTGGTAAATATATAATATATATAATATAGATACAATCAATTAATACAAAGTTTACGGCGCACGGTCTGTTTAGAGGGAATGGGGAGAGCTATCGTTTGTTTAAATTTCTATCATGAATACAAAGTTTACGGCACAAGGTCTGTTTAAATGGAATGGGGAGAGTTATCGTTTGTTTCAATTTCTATCATGAATACAAAGTTTACGGCACAAGATGTGTTTAGATGGAATGGGGAGAGTTATCTTTTGTTTAAATTTCTATCATAACAAGATCAAAGTTACCTCAACACATGGCATTCGCCCTGAGAAGTTTGCTGATGTGTAACCATAAGTGACATTTGGAATCAACTTTAAAGCAAGTCGTCGAGCATCAAGAAGTTGAAGAAGAGTCTAAAATGTGATTTATTTATGATATTGAATGATTAGAGAAAACAAGCGAAGAGTGGAAAGGCATCTTTATTGAACATGATGAAAAGTCCATGACGTTTTAGCTACTGGATCTTATAAAAACATCAAAGTTCGCTTCAAAAACAAAGATTTAATAAAACCAACTTACTTTATCATCTTTACAATCTTTCATAGCTTTCTTTACCATAATACGTGAGTATAATATCTCCTCTAACATTCTAAAATAAATCAAACTTTTTGAACATATAATAGCCAAAGATAACAAGACCCATTTAGGAGAATAAAGACTTAAGAAGGAACGCTATGTACATTGCAAAATATACAATAAAAAGCAAATGTTATTTTTTCAACAATCTTTTGAATCAATAAAAATGTGACCTGTAACCAAATGAATGTGAAATATCCCACATTACCTGGGTAAAATTCCTCCTCTTATGTTAGATTTTGCAAAAACAGAGCCAATGGCGCTTACATGAATATCATCTTGTAGTTTCTGAAAGGAAATGTATTGTTTCAAATGTATTGCTTGTCGTGATGGTAATTTATTAAAAATTCTCATCTCCAATAATTTTGGAGGAACATTCAAGGATGTACAACCAAACTCAATATGAAAAACGACATGTAAGACAGAGAAAATGACTTTTTACCTTAATTTTAAAATCCATGCTACACGACAGAAGAAGATGAGCAGATTTCGGAAAGAATCTTATTGCAGAAACACCTTTAGTGTGACCAGACCTAAGAGAAAGAAAAAATAATAGCTACAATAATACATAAGTAAGAATATCTCCACTGCTTTCTTTTATCACGACGGTAGAAGGATGAACTACAGGGAAACAAATACTTAAATGATATTAAAAAGTGCTGTATAAAGTGAATATTTGCATCAGGAAGTATCGTTACGTTTTTGTCGAGGTTAGTAGAGTCCTGTGAAGAACTGTTGGTGTTGATGTTGACTGACGTTTCGACAACCTTAGCAGTAGTCATCTTCAGGGTCAAATGATAAGTAAATGTCAGGTTAGCCGTGTTTCTTAAAACAAGTGCTAAGGAAGTCCAATACAATATCTACAAACATACGTACGAAGAACGAGAACAAATCATTACTTTATAATAAATAATACACTCATAAATATGATTTTATATACATATCAAATGATCACCTAAACGTCTCAAATCAAAGAGAAGCACCATATTAAAAAAACGCTCATATTTTAAGTTTATATTTGGATGAGACGCTTTCTCTAATGAATACTGTAATGTATAATTGAACATCCTCAATACCATCAAGAATTATATCATAAATTGTCTTTAAACTTAATTCAATTATTGCGTGTTTTCCTTAAAATCTACAAAATTTAAAGCATATTGATGACTCTAAGTCAGACGTTCTATGGCATTTCTAATTACATTTTAGCAAGTAAACTTTCATATTTCTTCCGTTTTTGTTTTACAGTAAAGTAACAGAAAACAAACAAAAGCAAGAACAACTAAAATTCAATAGCGTGTTTAACGTCATTTCTGGTATTTTAACTTCCATTTTTTGATTTTGAATAAATGAACTAAACGGAGAATTGTTTACATACCACGTATGAATATGTTGTTTTGGTAGAAAGCATCGTTCTGGAGGAGTATCTGACTTGAGATTAATGCCAAGATCTTGTGGAATGTGAAGATATGATCTTCCTTGATAGTCATATGCATCTTTAACTGAAAAATAATTACATTTGGTAAAGTTTAGGAAACTACAAGAAAGTATGAAAATTTTAACTTACTGTGTAATGTGGATTTCTCTTCTGAAGGTTTCATATCATCTTTCTTTGATTTGTTTTTTTTTGATAATTCATACTCCTCAAGGATTGCTGACTCTTCCTGTATTTACCAAGAAAACGCCAGAAAAATAATTGTTTGAGTTGAAAAATATCTTTATAAAACTCTTTATTTGGGTAATTGAAATACCTCATATGGTTTAGCAATAGTTTCTTCATCAACAAACTTACTCCATGGTCCTTTAGGATAACAGAGAATAAGAGATAGTAGGACAACCTTTCAAAAGTTATCATTATTGTAGTAATAGTACCCTTGTATCCATCAATCACACCAGGATCTCCCCTATCCTCTCTCTTCCTCTTATCTCCCGCCTGCTGTTTTGTAGCTTTAAACACAGTCAATCCCTTGCTATCCTTTGCTTTCTCAACTTCCCCAACAAACCTTAATGGATAACAATTGATATAAACATAAAACATTACCAAGCCTATTTACTAATAATTAAGAGCCATGTACTACATCATGTTTTTAAGGTAAGTTCATGACAAAGCACATTCATCATATTCCACTCAAATAAACATTTATCAGCTTGAATCATTTCAAAGTAATTGAGTGATATAATACTTCAGCATTATTCTATTTCAGACTTGATGCATTCACTGAGGAACATGTTTGATGTACGAGTGTTTAATACCCTCTACATATTGTGAATTATGTATAAAAAGTTAGTCCGGAAACTAGTAAAGGATAAAAAAGTTGCTTTGCATTGGGTTTTAGTATCAATCTACACTACAATAAATCATCCCCACAATGTAAAACACATAAAATTTTGGAGAGATGTGCGTTCCTGCACTAACATGACTATCGTAGAAGATGTATGCTGTATCATAGTTATGTTATAAGCACATTGTAACAATATTATATACATATATTGTAACTAACTTCTCTTCAATGTGAGCTGTGTCATCACTTGGATCTAATGCATAACCTGTGATTTAATAAAAACAAAAAGATCACACATAACTCATTAACAAATACATTTTTTCTCAAACTATGCTTGCTTTTGCTCTTACCGTAACTTGAAAATGTTTTTAGTTGATTATCAAATTGAAATTTACTGATATGAGATGGCTCAACATAGCCAGACAACATATTTTTATGTGCTCTTTGCTGCTTCGTTTTAAATGGATTTTGTAGTCCAATCTAAAATAGTAGACTTCTTCAAAATCATGATTTTGTCCATGTGCATGTAAATGGTGACAATGATTAAATTATTAACGTACCGAAGCTGAAAAGAGTTCGTCATACTTTGCATTAAATGTAACTTCTTTCATTAAAGGATCGATGTGTCTTCTCCAATTAATTCCTTCCTTTAAAAGATAACAAATCGCATTATAGATTTAGCTTTGGTGTTGGTAGTTGCCTAGTTAGGACTTTGGATAAAAACTATTACACTTTACCTTAGCATCAACAATTGGCGCGCTGTTTAAAAGAAACTTAGGTTTTAGGGCATCCATATTGACAGTGCTCTCTATTGACTTTTCACCTTCTTTAGATTTATCATTATTACTTCTCTCTTCATCGGAAGAATCACTTTGATAAGACACCAATGATTTAGGACTTGCAGCTAAATCGAGAGATCGGAGCACAGAAACCATATTGAAATTTGTCACGTGAAACGTGAACTGAAAGCTAAATATTAAATGTCACCATCGTTACTCGCGCGAGTTGTTTTATCGTCTTGCTGCGAAATACGATTTTACCCACTTTAAGTTTTTTGTAAAAAAACATCATCGTATGCGCATTGTCAACTTTCTTGTTCTCTTTCCATTGTATTGCTCTATAATAAAGCTAAATATCTTAACGTTTTAAGTTCTTTATTATTCGTGAAAATCGGTATGTGGAATAACAATACGAAGGTATTGCAAGTTTAATTGCTTCATCACACTAAGCATATGCACATACATTAACTGAATTGCAAACACTACTTTCGCTGCAGAGTAAGTCAGAATACATGAAACTACTTGACAACTGCCGTATTGGCAATATTTTGGAAATAATTGGTAATAATTATAACAATATCAGCAGTGTTGTTATTATAGTATTTTAAATTTATAATAAGCTACTAAACATAAACATATTCTGACTTACCCCGGAACTTCCACTGCATTGCACTACTTGCAAATTTTATGCAGTTATTTAGGTTATTTAGTTCAGACCTTTGCAGTGCAATGGGGATGAGGGTGCAAGGCAACATGAATATAGGCCCTGACATGACATAGGATTAAAGTCTTGCATTAAAAATTCATAATATAGAAATGGAAATTAGTTTTGTTAATTATATGTACATAATTTATTTGGAGGTTTTGTCTCTCAAAAAAGCTTCAAAAAGATAGAGCCCACTGAGCAAGCTAACTAGAGGTCAGGCTTTTGAGTCTTTGTTGCCAAAGATTGAGAAATGGTTTACTAAAGGTATAAATTGCAGTACAGATGATGATTCAGTTGTTGATCCTTGCCATGTAACATCTATGCCAAGTATGGACCAGTTGCAACAATGGAGAAAAATAGTTGAGGCATCAAGCAAGCAGGAGCATGTATCAACACATCACAAGGAAGGTTAGATATCAATTGCATCACCAATCTGCAGAAATTTCACACCTTAAAAAGCATACAAGTAGAAGTCGAAGAGGAAATTGCCTGGTTTTCACAACCATTGAACAAACCAGACACGGTGGTGGAACATCCATCAGCTGCTTCAATTACAGCCTTTCAGAAGCTTTTGTACAGAACCCCATATAGTGAGATTATGAAAGAACGAGAATTGTCATCCAATGAGATGTCCAGGTCAAGTGACCACATGTGCTGGTTGACAACAAACCTAAACAAAAAGAAAACAGATACATATTATGTGTACCTCAATGGAACAAAACCACCCACAACAGCCCAACACCATGCTAAATATGAATTCATTTCAAAATTCTGTTTTGCCATAAATGTTGGTAAAAAAAAGCAATGGCAACACATTTCTTGGAGATGATTTGCACCCCGGAAACCATTGGGTACTTTGCTATGTAGACACTAATGACAAAAACATTACATATGGGGATTCATTAGGCTGGCAATTTCCGAACAATCTTCTACACAGTTTAGATAAATTTGTCAAGGCACATAATATTTGCGACAGCATAGCCAACTACTCAGTAACAATGACACATGATCTTGTTAGCAGATGCCAGGTTAGAGGAGGACACAAGTGCACAGACAATTGTTCGAAAGCGTATCCATTCCAAACATGTAGCAATGTTTGTGGCGTGGTTGTAATGATTATGATGGCTATATCAAGCTATAACTATGCCTTTTTCAAGAGCTTGCTATCATTTTCTAAGCCAACCACAAAGAATATTCCATCAATATACCAAAGCAATCCCACACATTACAGCGCATACTTACGGATTGTACTTGGATGTTGGATCTCAGATAATGTTGTTAACCTGGCATATGTATTACCACAGTTTTGGAATACACTACAAAAATGGATTTTACCAGAAAATGAAAACACAGCAACAACTTGTAAAATGTCCACCACTACAGAAGATAAAACTATCGCAGCTGTTAGCAAGGTCACTGTAGAGGACAAACTCATCACAGCTAAAATGAAAAAACTTTTGCAGCACATTTTACATATAACATACCTTTAACATCAACAACAGAAACACTTCTTTTGTGACAAGCTGTTTGGCATGAACAATCATACACCAGCATGTTCATGAGTTTATATGGCCAAAACATGCCATCCTACAAAGCAATGAATAACCTCGTAGAAATTAGTTGTAAGCAATCCCCTTTCTTGCATTCATAAAAAATATTAGATTAGTGCTTCGTAGCATGTTTCACAATGTAAACTCTCATTTTATTTTTGCATTTTTTGTTGCAAGTGTTGAGAGAGTTAACTGTAAACATATTTATAATATCTACCTCATAAAGGTTACCTTAAATATTTCAACATGATGACAAATATTTACGGTTGTGTGCATCTTTAACATACAGTTCTCACAATACTTTGCCATTGGACCACAATCTCTGCACCTAAACTTTGCTTCTTTATCACAATGAATACACTTCAGATTGCTCCAATTTTTGCCAGCAAACTGAAATGTATTCTTTATAATTGAAAGTTGCAAATTTTCCCATGATTTTTGTTTTCTTTCAACTTTCTGATAATAAGAAGATGATTCTTCACAATCATGGTGAACATCACTTTCAAGATCACTGTTATCTTGTTCCATTCCCATTTCCTGGCCTTCCAATGCACCACAATTATCAGGACTGTTAAAAGAACAGCTTCCTCTATGATTCTCAATAACCAATTCTGACAAATCCACCTCCTCTCTCTCAACATGGCCATCCTCATCATGATATGTGACAGCTACAGTTGCTTTAAACCTTTTATTGCTCCTACAAAAATTATCATAAAAATCTATAAAATGAAAATAAATGTTGAAAAGTCTAAAAGCTATAAGGCCGTTATTTGGTGTACCTTGGCATCTTTTAAAATTACCAGCAAGAAAATCACAAATGAGAAAATATTATCGATATTACCAATGACACAATAACATAAGTTAAACGACCAAAGTACAACGTATGTATCTCCCACGACTACCTGCCGACGTTTTGTACCCGTACTTTACCGGCTTTTAGCCACGTCTCATAAGACGAATGGGTGATTTGTTTGATGTTTGTAACATGTTTGTAAATGTAGATCGTCCAGGTTGGTATAGTCCTGAGAAGGACTGTTTTTGTTGTTGTTGACTGGCGTTTCGACAACCTTAGCGGTAGTCATCTTCAGAGTGATTTGCTTGTTGGTAAAACGAAAGGGTTTTTGTTCCGGTATATTGTAGGAGCCTTTTTCCTAGGGTAGGGGTAACATATCTCACGTGACCGGGAACGTAAATCATTTAAATTATTCCACAAACTCGACTAGAACGCCGCGCAGATATCATGTAGTTCGTTGTGTCTTGAAATCTTTCTGAGGTATGTTGATTTTAAACTTTACCCTTCGTTGTTATATTGTATTTTGATTTTGTGATTTAATGTTTCATGTCCATTTATCGATTATTTTGTTTTTCTGTAAAATATTCTACTTCCGCGTTATGTACACGTATGCAAATGTTTTATAAAGATAAATTTGTTGATTTTGGTGAGATTTGGAACTAGCTCAAATCAAAATATATCTTATAAAACATATAAGATATATTATTATATCTTTATATAATAATAAAAGAAATAAATTTCTACTATATAATAGTAATGTTCTACATCGATACACATCATGTGCATGGTCACGAGGTAGTAGAGGAAATAAGATATTCATGGATAATTTCGTAAAAGCACTATTGCTAATGCGCATTTAATATACACGACAAGTTTTTTTAAAATAGTTATGTTTCGACGTCTCATAATGCCATCTTCAGTATGAGTGAAATAATAAGTTTGTAAATGATGATCGTCCAGGTTAATAAAGTCCTGAGAAGGACTGTTTTTGTTGTTGTTGACTGACGTTTCGACAACCTTAGCGGTAGTCATCTTCAAAACATTTAACGATACTCCCGGGTTCAAACCATTTACTTTAGTGAAATAATAAGTGATACAAGGAAAGGAAATAAAATAAATTAATGGGGAGCATCCTAGCGTATTATAAAGTAAATATTGTATTGAATTTAAAAACTTGAACATTAAGGTCAGGGTTAGTTTTTTTATGTGGAGTGCTTCTTTGATTTTAAGGGTGTATGAGGTGTCGGCAGTGTCGATGATTTTGAAACAAGAGGGTGAATAGTTGGTTTAGCATGAGTGAGATTTAAGAAGGTGTCGGTAGATATGAGAGTTTTTGTCTGTTGTTGTGGTATGTTCCCTGATTCTGGTGGATAAATGGCGTGAAGTTTCGCCAATGTATCGGGAATTAGCTACATCCCGCGCATTTAAATTCATATACCACCATAGATTTAATTGAATCAGGGATTGGGTCTTTGAATGAGAAAAGCTTTTTGATTTTGAATGATGTAAAAATTAGTCGAATGTCAATATCTGTACAGAAGCGTTTCATAATGTTTGTAAGTCTGCGTTGTGTGTGTCGTGAGTAATGTCCGATGTATGGTAGTTTGAAGTATAGAGTTTTTATTTTGGAATTTTCATTTGTGTTGGTCGTGATCGTCGTGTCAGGAGTTTCGGTGTCTAGTTTGAGGTTGTTGCTTTGTTTGTTGTCGAGATATCGTTTTACGGTTCTGTTAATAATGTGAAGTGGGAAAGAGTTCGTAAAAGAGTAGATGTGATGTTTTTTTATGTCTCGTTGAAAGCCATTGCTCGTATTGTTAAGTTTGTATGCTCTGTCGATTAGTGTGCGTATAAGTCCGGTTTTGTATGAAAGTGGTGTGAAACTAAAATAGTTCGTCAGACGTCCTGTGTATGTTGGTTTGTGATATGTAGATGTTGTACAGCTGTCATGGGATTTTGTTAGTAAAATGTCGAGAAATGGCAGTTGATCTTGTTGTTCAGTTTCAAGTGAAAATCTAATGTTTGGGTGCTGTGAAAGATGAGAAGTCGTCGAGGAAAGTGAAAGAATCTTTAGTGGAGTGGTCATCTGGTATTAGTGGTGTTAGTAGAGAACTAAGATACTTAGCT